ATTCTATTACATATTATTTACATTGGCATTAATTTACCATATCTATATAGAATAATTGAGGAATTCTACAGTTTTGATTATTGTATTTTTTCTTTATAACAACAATGGACTTATATGTTAATTGGTCCCATGTAGCTTATCTTTATAATAAACTGGATATAATTCCATTTACTTTTTTTGTTAACAGAATTAATCAAACTTGCATTGAACACAAAAGTGTCTCAATAAGTACATTGTATTTCAAAGTGTGTGTGTGTTTGCATAAACTCACATAATTTGAATAATTGAATATATGCCAAAATGCCCTTTAACCACTGATTTGGATATTTAACATTCATCTGTGCTTCTTTTGATTGTCAGCCTTGTCATAATGAATTAAAAGATTTTTATGTACTGTAAGTAGAACAAACAAATTGTGATTTCCATTTCTAATGATAACTCCAAAACGGTTTAGGTAAATAATATCTATAAATAGAATTTGATGAATAAGGTGATGATTGATGCACCTTGTGATGCACAATTTGATGATTCATGCACTATCAATATCATGGCAATTTGACAAAACCATCAGTTACTATTTATATAAAAAGTAAGAATTTCATAATCATAGAATTGTGCAAATTGGGATTTTTTCCCTTAAACATTATTTTAGATAACCATTTAATCACATTTCATATCTGAAAAATTGAGCTTTTATATAATTAAAAAGACAATGAAAATGCAATGATTAATCTTGATTGTCAATCTGATTGGCTTGAGACATGCCTAGATTAGAAACCACATTTCTGGTTGTGTCTGGGTGAATCATGAGGGTGTGATCTATGACACTCATTCCCTGTGCTCTGCTTCCTGACTTCCATCAATTGAACAACTTTGCTCCACCATACCTTCTCCCACAATATATCTGTCTTGGACCCAATTGTCTATACACTGAACCCTCTGAAACTGTGAGCCAAATAAATCTCTCCTCCTTTAAGCTACAAGTGTCAGGGTTTTTTTTTCCTCCTGGCAATTGGCAAACTGTAGAGTACAATAAATTTGTACAAGAGGGATTGAGTAATAGCTATGACTGTCCCTGATCGTGCAGTTCAGAAGTCTTTAGAACTGCTTGGCAGAAGTTTGGAAATATTTGGAGAAGTAGGTTAGATAAAGCCTAAAATGTTGTAAGCAAAACCTGATGGATGATTCTAGTCTGAGCTTAGAAGACCACAATGCTAATAGGACTCTGAACTGTATATATCCTTGGAAGGTGTCATATGAGAATGAATACTCTACTGGGAACTGGACAAGAGGCCATGCATGTTACACTCTGGTAAAGTTAGGGTTAATAACTTGCTGAATAATGCTGAAGGGACTAGTGCTATTAAAAAGAAACTACTTTGAACTGGAACAACAGTGAAGATGCCTAGAGGGCATTTGAGAAATCATTAAGACCACACCTATGACTGTCTCATGGATACACAACTGTAAACTTTTATTTAAGAAGAGTGCTCCTGGGGCCCCTGATCAAGAAAGAATGCCTAGGGACATGGTTGCCTGTATTCATTTCACAGTGCTCAGCCATCCATACACTCAGAGGCTGCTGCAACCATGGTGCAAAGAGGCATGACTATCGTTTATATTTACTGCAGGCTTTGGCAGTTGGTGTAGTGGTGATTTCATAAAATGCAGAATGCAAATGTTGTGGAGTCATAGAGACTTCCAGCCAGATTTCAAATGGAGGCCTAGAATATCAGGAAAAGTTGTATGGCAAGGTTAGAGGACATGCCAGGAGCACATGGGAAAGCTATGTGTGAAGCCCTAAGGCTGTGATCATGGCTTCACTGGATGCTTCAGGAACTTGCAAGGTTAGGAATGTGGGACATATGCAGAAGAAAGGTGCAGCCAAAAAGTGGAGCCAACCCATGAGAGGCCATGCGTTCTCCAAATGGTAAGGCCATGCACTGGGGCCGCCCAAGCCCTTTGGAGCTCACAGCTCACTCTCACATGCTCTGATGCCAGACTTGAAGTTATGGAATTCAATGTTTCCTTTCTTGTGTTTTAGTTGTGTTGCTGTCTGATTCTTTTCTACCACTTATTCCTACCTTCTGGAAAGCAAATGCTTTACTTGTACATTTTTATATTTGGAATATGTAATTTGCTTTTTGAATTTTACAAGAGTTGACAGCTTCAAGTTTGTCATGAATATCAGAGGAGATCTTGTACTTGGATCTTTGAGCAATGCTAGAACTGTTGATATTTTGGAGGAGGGATTAGCACATTTTTAGTTGTACACAAGATAGTTATGTTAGGAAGAATTATGTTAGGCATAACATATTATGTTAGGCAGAATTATGATCTTGTTATTTCCTTAATTTGGAGATTAAGTATGATTTAAGATGTGCTTGTTGTCAAGCTGACCAAGGGTGGATTGCCTTTGATTGTCAACTTGATTGGCGTGAAAGATATCTAGATTAGTAAAATTCATAGCTGGATGGGTCAGGTAATGTGACCCTGAGACCACATCTGAGATCTGCTCCCTGCCTCTCTGATTCTCTTTATTTCTATACTTGTGTTTTGGATCCATAATATTTACTACTTAATAAACTAATGAGTTATACTCAAAATTAAATTACCAAAGAAGAAGATAAAGAATAAACATATATATTAAATTTCTCTTATTTACTCACACTGCAATTAATACTCAGGTGTCCTCCCTAGGTAACACAGAGAGGACTTTGAAGATTGGCCTACAAATTGAAGTAACAGGGTATGACCATTTCTCCGGGTCGATGTCTTCACTTTATCCTGCCTTTGCTTCATCATTTTCTTTCTTCAGGAGGCTGAGTTTCATGAAACTTCAGATCATCTTTTACTTTAAACTATGATTGTGTAGCAATAACTTTCGAGTTGACAAATTATAGCTAGATGATTGCTATAAAGATACAGAGTGAGAGAATATGATCATAGACAAATTCATGTCAGGAGATAAAGAATTAAATCAAACTGTAATTCCCAACAATTTCCTTTTCTTACTATGTTATTTATTCACTATCAGTCAAAAGAACCAATACCACTTGTGATGAGCTAAAGAGAAATTTTAGCAGTGATTCTCAGAAATCAGTAATAGTGGAAAAAGGACCAAAAGTTAAAAAGAAAAAGAATTTCCAGATAAATCATTCAAAGTAGTTGCTCATTGAAAAAAAATGAAGATGGGAGATAATGGCAATGGGGATTTTGGAGATAATGAGCAGTTTTGTGAGATGAAAGTATAGTGTTTGAAAGATGTTTTTTGTGGCAATGAAATGAGAAATAACAAATACATTGTTGCAAAGAAAATGATATCACTGAAGTAAACACTTGCTAAAATTATTATGATCATGATAACATGAATTAAGATAAAAATAATGAGATAAATATCATGACTTCTCTGATTCCCTATGTTTTAAATGTTTTCAAATATATACCACTATTTTAGGATATATAATATTAAGATAATTCTTATTCAGATTAATTTCAAACAGATAAATGAATTCACAGTTTACAATTATGATCTAAAATTTGGAAATGAAATTGTAATAAAATTTTGGATCCAAAAATGAAATGCATATTTCAAATAAAATTTGAATTATGTATATATAGACAAATCCATGGACATATATAAATATAGGTGTGTGTATGTATACACATATTCGTATTTACCAACAAGAGAATTTGAAGTCAAATTTTGACTTAAGCATTGGTTGAAACCAAAAATATGTAAAGAAAAACTAATGTATTATATATCCTCAAAGGCAAAAATATTATTTAGAAGGAAAAGACATATGTATGTCCAATGGAAAATGATATTACAGTTGTTTTCCTTTTCCTCAAACATTGCAAAGAAAGAATTATATTTTGTTATGCTACTTCAAGAGGAATTTCAAGCATTGTCAGTAAATATTTGCTCAATGACAAATAATAATATTCTGTTCAAAATTCAGAGATGTGCCTATATCTTTTCCTCCTTATATGTTTAGTTTCCTAGTGACATGTCTTCTTTGTATATTTAGTTGTTATCTTTTTATCAGAGAATGTCATAGGCTTCACTAGAAATTTTTAGAAATAAAACAGAAAAATCTTTGAAACAATTTATCTATAATGTGATTTAAAGGGAGAAAAATGTTGACTTCCTCATTTCTTGTGATTTATGTATAGTTTGCTGATTGCCAAAGGAATGACATTTCTGAATTTTGACATAGAGGAAATTACTTAGGTTATTTTAGGTATGATTGATGTGTCAAAATTATTCCTACTTCAAAATACTATCTTGCAAATCTGCAAATTTTATTTTTCATGTAACTGCATAGATTTCAGACAAAGATAAAATGTGGATGTGTTGATATTGTATGTTGATAAGTCACTGCTAAAATAGTACTTCAAATTTGATTTGATATGCCAAAGTAGAGTTTCTGAAAAATATGTTTTTCTTTAATCTTAAAACATGCTTTGATAATTTGTAATTATGGATAATAAACGTGACAAATTGAGACAAAAATATTCATGAATTACTAATTGTAGGACACTGTTCAAAGTTAGACCAGTATCTTCTTGATGATTAATATCACTATCTTCAAAAGAGTATGCATCATTTGAAAAAGAAATTGACTTGTTATAAGTTTTGGAAAACAGGTTTTAGAACATTTTGCTGATTCTCTCTATTGAGTGGTGGAAATATTGGGTGACAGATTCTCTGAGGTTTGGCTTTGTTTTAGTGTCAAACAACATTTTAGTCGATTTGGAAAAGGAACCCAAGTTATCAAAATTTTAAGCTGTCAGAAATAGAAGACTTTCTGAGATTATTAATAGACTTTAATTACTAAAAACTCAATTATGCCAACACGTGTTGGAAGATAATGTAGATTAAAGGAAAGTATCAAGGCAGCAAAATATACAAGCTCTGTTTCCACTATTTACTAGCAGAATTCTCAAACAATAAGATAGTAGCTATAAAGTTTAATGAAAATATAGTATATCAGAAAATTGATCCACTCTCTTGAAAAGTGTAATACTTTTATTCTTATTTCATTCTTACTCAAAATTATGTTAACTACTGTTACTTAATGTTTTAAACACACAATTATTTAAACTATATACATACTAAGATCATGAGTTGCAAAGATAGTATCAATTTATATTTACTTAATATTATCATTTATAAATTATAAGCAGTAATATTATAAGAAATTTCTGACATGAATCTAGTTTCTTAAGAATGTATAGAAGAAATTTATACATATCATTTTTCACATTTTTAACATCTAAAACAAATTTATTTTTAACAGACTAATAATGTAAAATTCTATATATAGATGGATTGAATATTGTACATATGATAGCGAAACATATATGTTGTGTAATATTTATACCAGGTTACATATACATATATATATGTATTTATGATGACTCTTTCAAAGCATGGATTATCTTCAAACATCTTCATGATAATTTAGTCAAACTAATTTAAAGATTTTCACATGAATGAGTACCGTATAAAGATTCAAAAATAGGAAAAAAATAGTAAGTGGATAACATATCTTAAGAATTCTACAAATTAGTAATGTATGTGTGTGTGCGGATATCTGTGTGTTTGTGTAAATATACGGAAATGTTTTTATTAGGGCACAAATTTTAAAACTTACTAAAATATAAGGCTATAAAATGCAGATATAACTTACATAAAGATTAGATATATACATTAGTTTTTACATAGCTTGAGTAAAGTAGAAAACACATGTAAAATAGAGGAGGGCAAGAGATTTCTAAATTACATAGACTATTTAAAATTTTTGAACAATATTAGACTTTTAATTTTTAAATATTTGTTACATTTGATAACTAAAATGTTTAAATCATGTTGAACATTAGTATTTCAAATTGAAAGTTATAGCAAGTAACTGTACTTGAGATAATTTAAAATATTTGAAGAATTTAAAATAAAGAATATCATTTCAATATTAATATAATTTATTACATAAAATTTAGTTGATATTATAGCTACATCCAAAAATCTAAATAGATTATTAATACAAAAGTTATAAATTTTTTATCTCAATATCTTCTTTGCAGGGATATTAACTCAAAAAAATGTACTTTTATAGCAGAAGTATTATGCTACATGAAGAAAATATTTTGTTGTTGAACAGCTCATGTAATTTTTTTATATTGTGATTAAATTCTTTTAACAAATATATTGAAATATTTTATTAAATTTAATAAACAAGTTAAAACTAATTGTGCCAAATTAAAATTGATGTACAAATAGCTTTTATTTTCTTTATTTATACTAGTCTATTGTTTATACTTGATTATTCTTTTCATTATATGTAGTTGATATAATGCACATGTAAATATGTATTCATAGATTAGTATGCATTTATAATCACGATAATGCTCAATATTTTGATTTTATGTATTATAAATTATTAAGCATTCATAATTACTTAAATTTTTTCGTTAAGAACTTTGAAGAAGAATAGAAAGTTTGATAGCAAAATAATAGGCAAAGAGAAAAAATAACTACATGCTAATTTTGTTAAATTTGTCTTTGAAGAAATACTTAGTGTTATTAAAATATGTCACAATTTAAAGGCATTATTCAAAATACCTGATAGTACAAATGTAAATACATGATGGAAAAATAAAACCCTGGAAAAAGAAAAATGTGCAGTAGCTATCCATTCATCCAAGATAACAAAATTTGAAATACCTTAAATCTGAACAACTTTATAAGTTTTTTTATCCCTCAACCAGCATTGTAGCAATGAAGATTTTTCTTCCACGTATTTATTTAAGAAAAAATTCAATGTACATATCATGGTTTCAAATTTGTTTAGAAACATTTTCTTCTGAAGTACAAAATAACAACAGTTTTTAATGCACTTTTAGGGCATATCCAGTCAATACAGTAAAGATCACACTCTTACCTGTAAAGCTTCAAATCCCAGGACTTTGAAGAAAGTTGAATTCAAACTTCTTATTAGACTCTTGAGGAATAGTAGGAAAGATCACAATTAATTGGCTCCCAGGCTCTTTAGCAAAATTTTGATATGCCACATTGCTCTGAGTTACAGACATTGTGCTTTCAGTGCCACGACTATGTCAGTATGTCACTCCTTTCTCAGTGCTATTTTGGGATCTCTGAATACAGCCATGAACACTGAGGCTTTTGTGCAAAATATCATAGGGCACTCTGATATTCATCCATAATCTCAGATTAAAATGCAGACAGCCAAGCAAGTAGTATGAACTGATTATCTTCTTTTTTTTTTTTCTGTCTTTTTCCTAATAACAAGCAGCAAAAGAAAACAAAGCACTCATTAGCCTGGGATGACAAAGAGGCAATTCAGCTTCTGTAAGAGAACTCTGCAAGTGAAAAGAACATGCACCCTGGTTGGGGATTAGCCGATGAAACACATGATCAATTTAAAGTAGGCACAAAAGTTACTAAAAGGAGGAAAGATTTTCCATTGTTTGTCAAGACTTCTGATTGATTCTTATTCAGTCAGTTTCTAAGGATTCAAGGAAAATACATAATGAGAGGGCAATATCTAAATGATCGTAAATTCTCATGTTTCCTTGGGTTATTTATTAAATAAAGAGGTTTATTATTGTATTTCTAGTCATAATTTGATTTTGTTATGAAGCAGTATCTTTTTATAAAATACATACATTTTTCTCTGTGCTATTTACTCCAGCTGTTTCTAGTTTAAAGTGGGTTTTTTTTTAAATCAAATCAGAGGTAGTTTTTAAAGTACTGCAAACATTGTCTTACGCTGCAATTTATGCCTACAAAACTGTATTTTAAGGCTTGCATATGCAGTTATTGTAAGGAGACAGCCTCTAATTTCAGAAATACACTTAAGTCCTGCAAAATGGAACTATATTCAGGTCTGTTTTGTATCATAGCAAGGGAAGGATAGTAAAAAAGAGAAGAAATTACAACTTGTAAAAATTAGAAAAATTATATGATGTTTGAATTATGTCGTACTTTTTTCTTAGTTCATAACATCAAAATTTTATCAGTTACTATTTGGAAAAAATCAGGTGCCCCTGAAACATGAAACAAAATTTTTTAAAAATAAATTTTGTCCTTTAACATCTTGCATGGTATGCTACTTAATGAATGTATTTATTATTTAGTCACTTTTTATCCTAAGTTTTTATGGGCTGGTACATTTTATTTAAATAATGCATATTACTGAAATACCCATATTTAATTCATGCACTTACCTATAAATTTCTGAAGTCACTTAGGTCCAAAAATAGATAGATAGATAAATAAATAGATAGATGATAGAGTTATTTGCCAAAACAGTGTAAAGTGTATACACACTTCAGGAAAAGAAAAACTTGTGTAAGGTGCACATTCTTTTGAATTAATACTTCCAGAATTTTATCTATGGGAGATCCCAAAGGGTGTTGTACATTGCAGAAACCCCACTACACTTCTGACCCTTAGACAAGAAATTAAAAATGCATGGGTGGTAATCTCAATGACCAAGCAGCAGTTTGTCTTACCACTAAATGTCTGGAAGCTAATGGCCACCACTCTGAGCACCTCTTGTAATTTTAGAGGCCAAAGATGGCTTGTATTAATCTCATGAGGTGTCAATAAATTTATTATTAAAAATATTTATTCAAGGTTTTCTTTTCCTGAAGTGTGTATACATGTGTGCATGTGTGTGTGTGTGTGTGTGTGTGTGTGTGTGTGTCTATGTCCCAGCTCCTGCTGATGATGATGGGTTTTTCCACTAGAGTACAGCTCCTCAAATACAGAATGCACACTTTGCCCACATTTCATAAGTTGACAGTGATGTGATATTAATATAGCCTGTATGTGAAGATTTCCCTTTCTCATCCAGGCTCAACTGGATATACTGTATTGATTTTAGCCAGTTTTAAATGATTTAGGATGGGTCTGGGGGCAATTTTTAAACTTGTCTTCTCATGCCATTTTTACACTCAATCTATTCAGTAAGATTTTTATTTTTTATTTATTTTAATTCTCCTATTGGTACATTTTAGGTATACAATACATTTACATTTCTAATTTGGAACTTGTACCTTTACATGACATATCTTGGTTTTTATTTTTTCCCCATTCCCTGCACTCCCTTCACCCCTCCAATCCTCCATATTTACAAAGACTTTGTTTCCATTTCCCAAAATCTTTCCTTTCCCTTTTTCACTTTCCCCTACCCCTCCCACTTCCCCTTCCCCTTTGCCCCTTTTCTCCCTATTTCACATTATCTTTTATGCCTTTTAGTTCTTATACTTTTAATTTCTCACACTAGAGAAATGATTTGGTATTTACACATGTGCCATATTTATTTCACTTAAGAGTATCAGCTCAATGTACATCCATTTACCTATAAATATCTTTAATTTCTCATTTTTTATGGATGAGTACTACTCCATTTCATTAAAAAAAACACATTTTCTTTATCGAGTCTCCAGTTGATGGGCATTTGTGCTGTTTCCACTTTTTAGCTATTACAAATTGTGCTGCTATGAACATGGGTGCACATATATCACTGTGGTATGATACTTTTAATTCTTTGGGGAAGATACCCAGCAGGGGAATAGTTGGATCAAATGGGACTTTCAGTCCTAGTTCTTGGAGGTATCTCCATACTGATTTCCACAGTGGTTGCACTAGTCTATACTCCCACCAGCAGTGGAATAGAGTTCCTCTTTCCCTACAGCCCGCCAGCATTTGTTATTGTTTGATTTCATGCTAGCAGCCATTATTTCTGGAATGAAGTGGAATCTCAGCATTGTTTTCATTTGCATCTTTCAAATGATCAGTGATGTTGAACATTTTTTCATATATTTATTTGCTATTTCTACTTCTTTGAGAAATATCTGTGAATTTCAGATGCCCATTTTCAGATTGATTCTTTAAATTTGGGAGGTCTGATCTTTTAAAGTTCTTTATAGACTTGAGATAGTAGGCCTTTGTCTGAGGAATACCAGGTGAAGATTTTTTCCCACATGGTGGGTTGTCTCTTCACACTGCTGGTAGTTTCTCTTGGTGTGCAGAAGCTTTTTAATAAGAAGAGATCCCACTTGTTGATTGTTTGTGCTAGTTCAGGGGCAACTGAGGTTTTGTTCATAAAATCTTTTCCTACACCAATACCTTCAAGAGTTCTACCCAACCTCTGTTCCAGCCAGTTCAGCATTTCTATTTTAATATTTAGATCTTTAATCCATTTCAATTTTAGTTTAGTGCATGGCGAGAGATATAGGTCTAGGTTTAATCTTTGGCAAGTTGAAACCCAATTTTTCCAGCACCATTTATTAAAGAGGCTATCTTTCCTCCAGCGAGGGTGTTTGGCTCTTTTATCAAAGATGAGATGGCTGAGTGTGTCTGGGCTGTTTTAGCTCTTCTAATCTGTTCCACCGGTCCTCAGGTCTGTTTCTTTCCCAGTACCATGCTGTTTTTCTCACAGTATCTTTGTAGTATAGTTTCAAGTTAGGGGTTGTGATACCCCCTGTCATGTCTATGTTACCTAGAATTGCTTTTGCTATTCTGGGTCTTCTTGTTCCAAATGAATTTTTGGATTGTTTTCTCAAGGTCCATAAGTATGCTTCTGGGATTTCAATTGGGATTGCATTGAATCTCTATAGCAGTTTTGGAAGTATGGCCATTTTCACTGTATATACCTCTGGGCTGGGAGTGGTGGAATGGTGGCCAGGAAGTACCTTCCTCTGTGCTGGGAGTGGTGGAACTCAGTAAGCTTTTTAAATCAGCTTTGCTTCTCAAATTTGGTAACCATGATGACAGAACAACTTGGCCATGAGACTCAATGTGTTGTCATATTCTGAGAATGCAAGTAATATTTCTCACTTTAAAAAGACCTTGAAGAAATGTACAGTGTTATAATGATCACATTCCCTTAAGATATGGCTAGGGAAAAGAGTGATTAGGAGAAAAAGTACAACTGTATTATGAATCCTTTTCTCTCTTTCTATTTTTCTCCAGTTCTGCCCCACTTATAGTGCTGAGGTGAAACATAGACCTGATGTCATCATACATCTTCTTTATAAATACTATGCTCCTTGCTCAACCCTCCTGCTGAATGTAAAGTACAGTCCTCAAAAAATTACGAATGCCATTCCTCATCTCCTTAAATATTAGACAGTAAAATAAAACTGCAATACTTATATGAGTAAGACAAAGTTTAGTTTACAATATGAGACTCTTGCAAAACAACATCAGTGAATTTCAAAAATATTGATTTTCATATTTACTTAAAAGATCATTTAGTAATTCAACATCTGCTTTGGTTGTATTAATTTACCTTCTGGAATAATAAATGCTCCTGATTCAGTAATTGAAAAGTTAACTTATGTAAAAACATCTGAAAATATCTCCCTCTTTAGCCTATATAGAGTATAATACTTGAGTATTCACAGATCCTTTCAGGAAGAAATTTTGAGAATATTAAATTTCTAATATAGATTAAACTGTTTGTCTTTATTTACCAAATCCTCCCCTTCCTGCAGTTCCACTGAAAGCTTTAGGCATGTGATTTTGATACATATTTTTCTTATCCACTCATCTTTATCTCTTGACTTTTGTTGTTAGTGTCTTCAGTATTTGTTCAAATTATCCTTAAATGGAGTGCTATCAATCTGTTAATACATATGTTGCCACACAAGTCAAACTCCATATCTTGCTTCTTACTTCCATTACTGTTTCCAAGTACAGCAGATCATGTGTTCTCTTTTTGTTAAAATTTGCTCTTTATTTTCTGTATTCTTTGATCTATGATATCTATTTTATTTTTGTTTACTCTTAGAAATTTGTATATGTTAATTCTTCTCATGCAATAGAATATGGTGATAAACACAATTCCTGAGTAAACATCATTCATCCACTGCCTCAGCTGCTGCAGCTCATCCACTGTGGCTCATTATTTTACCTATGCACTTAGAAAATATTAATGTAGGGGCGAATTAATCTACCTTCCTTCAGAAGTGAACAGATTTGTCACTCTCCCTTAAGTTTCTCCACATTTTCTTATTTATTTAAGAGAGAACAACAAAAGCTACATGACAAGTAAAATATATGGAGTACCCTAGCACACACATGTGTGAATATACACATACACACAGAACTGCACTTCCTATGAGGCTATGCATATCTTCAAGATTCAAATATTTGCGAAACAAATCTTAGATAGATTTGGGAAAAATGATATTTACATAATAATAAGAGTGTAAACAAGGTTATTTTAAGAAGA